GAGTTTTTGGGGTATTCTATGTAGAGTATCATGTCATCTGTGAATAACGACATTTTCACTTCTCCCTTTCCTATCCTTATTCCTTTTATTTCTCTCTCTTGTCTAATTGCTGTAGCCAGTATTTCCAGAACTGAACTGAATAGGAGTGGTGACAGTGGACATCCTTGTCTTGTTCCTGATTTTAAAGTGAAAGCTTTCAATTTTTGACCATTTAGTATAATGTTAGCTGTTGGTTTATCATAGATGGCTTTGATCAGCTTGAGGTAAAGGCCATCTATTCCTATTTTCTGTAGGGTTTTCATCATGAATGAGTGTTGGACTTTATCGCAGGCTTTTTTTGCATTGATGGAGATGATCCTGTGATTTTTGTCCTTGGTTCTATTGACATGGTGTATTACGTTAAGTGATTTGCGTATTTTGAACTATCCCTGTATTCCTGGGATGAATCTCACTTGGTCGTGGTGTATAATCATCTTGATGACTTGTTGTATTCTATTTGCTAGTATTTTACTGAGAATTTTCGCATCTATATTCATTAGGGAGATTGGATTGTAGTTCTCTTTTTTGTTGGATCTTTCTCTTGTTTTGGTATCAAGATAATACTTGCCTCCAGGAATGAGTTGGGGAGAATTCCTTCCCTTTCAATTTCATTAAAGAGTTTGAGAAGAAATGGTATTAAATCTTCCCTAAATTGCTTGTAAAATTCAGCTGTGAATCCATCCAGACCTGGACCTGGGCTTTTTTTCATTGGCAAGTTTTAATTACATTCTCAATTTCACTGGCTGATATTGAGTCATTCAGAATTTTTATATCTTCTTAATTCAGCTTTGGTAATTCATATGTATCTAGAAATCTGTCCATTTCCTCTGTGTTTTCTATCCTAGGAGAGGAAATATTTTCAAAGTAGGTATTGATGATCTTCTGAATTTCTTCAGGATCTGTAATGATTTCACCCCTTTCATTCCTTATCGCATGTATTTCAGTTTTTTCTTTCCTTTCTTAAATAAAGTTGGCTAGAGTTTATCTATTTTATTTATTCTTTCAAAGAACCGACTCTCTGATTCATTAATTCTTTGTATTTTTTTTTAGTCTCCATTTCATTAATTTCTCCTCAGAGCTTTATAATTTCCTGCCTTCTTTGGGCTCTGGGTTTGACTTGCTTTTGTTTTTCTAGGAACTTGAGGTGCAGCAGAAGATTCTTTTTTTGTGCTTGTTCTGTTTTCCTGAAGTGGAAGTTCACGGCTATAAATTTCCCTCTGAGGACTGCTTTCATTGCATCCCACAGGTTCCTGTAGGTTGTATCTCCATTTTCATTTGCTTGTAAATAGTGTTTAATCTCTACTTTGATTTAATCTATGAGCCATTTGTTGTTCAGAAGGATGTTATTTAATTTCCAACTGTTTATGGAGTTTCTGTGTTTTCTTTTGTCATTAATTTCCAATTTCATTGCACAAGGATCTGATAGTATACATGGGATAATTTCAATTCCTTTGCA